TTCGATTACACACACAAGAAGAGGCCTAGTGGAGATGCCGCATCTACGGATTCCGGGGGGGGGGGGTACGTATCCACAAAGTGTAGCCAAGTCATGATAAGTATATCTATCTATTATAATTGGGTTGCCATTTGCTGGGCAAACATTATAATTTGTTAAGTTAGAAATTACTTATATATATATATATCACTATTTCGTTTGGGTTACCATTTTTTTGGGCAAACATTAGGATTGTTTAAGTTAGAAATTACGTATATGTCATTATTTAGTTTGGGTTGCCATTTATTAGACAAACATTATGATTGTTTTGGAAATGTCTCATTTACAGCCGTTATGCTGTCAAAATTGACTTGCAATCTTTTTTAAAGAGTTGTGGTAGCAAGCGGTTGGAGGAAGCAAAAAATGCCGTTTATTTGGGTTTGGGTACAACCAAGATCCTAATTGTGTCTTGACCGGGAACTACACGGATGGTGGTTCATCGTCTTCAGATAAGCACGTATGTGTCTCTTTTCCTTTGATGATGTTTATCGACTTAGTTTATAATTCATATTAAATATTATAACGTTTTATTTACTTTATAGGAATTCAAACCTTAAGGACCCAACTTAGAGACTTATAGGAACAAAGTCAGCGCCAACGGATGGCGGAGGAGGAGCGATGGCGGGTGGCGGAGGATCGACGTTTGGTGGAAGAGGAGCGATGGCGGGCGGCGGAGGAGCGACGTTTGGCGGAGGAGCGACGTTTGGCGGAGGAGGAGCGACAGCTTGTGGAGGCGGAGCGACGACGACAGAGGGAGGAACAACAGGATAAACAACTTCAAGATATGGCTGCTTTGGTTAGACAAATCAGTCAATCTCAACATTACCCCCACCACCATATTGAATATTGTCTTTTTGTTTGAAGCAATTTAGTTTTTGTTTATAACAATTTAGTTTTTGTTTGGTTGAAATAATTGCCGTTTACATTAATGTATGATATTTAGTTCTATTTCGTCTTTTTAGTTTCTTTTTAAATACTGTATAGATTTACAGGTTATAAATATTAACTTTAAAAAAAATTAAAATTAATATTTACATATTTTTCAGGTGGATTTTCCCGCCGGTACTTTAAAAAAAATTAAAATTAATATTTATATACTTTTTCGGCAAATTTTCGACGAATTTATTCGTCGGTAAAGTTTTAAATTTAAAGATATATTATTTTAAAAATAATTTTATTTTTCCGTCGAGAAAATGTTTCCGGCGGAAATTTCCGCCGGTAAATTAAATTATTTTTTTTAAAAGAACACTTAAACATTTTCTTAATTTAATCATGATTTTATAAAAAAAGCGGCGAGAAATTTCCGGCAGCCGTGATCCGCCGGAAAATGGTGAAATCCGCCGCTGATTCCGTCGAAAAAAATTCATTGGCGCAACTTTTTCCGGCGGTAGAATCCGCCAGAATTTACTGTCTTCGGCGGATTCTGCCGCCGGAAAAAGTGGTTTGCTTGGTAGTGGTCATACTTCTTACAAATCAAATGAGATTGAATTGAGAAGACATTGAAGATAAGAAAATAGTTGAAAAGATCCTACGTAGTCTCACCAGAAAATTCGAATACATCGTAGTGACGATCGAAGAATCAAAAGATCTTTCAAATTTCTCTTTTGAAAACCTTTTAGGGACACTTAAGTCTCATAGATTACATATTAGACAATATGTGCCATTGGAACATGCTTTAAATTACAGTCGAATAATCAGAAGAAACAAAGTGAAAGAGATGACCGTGACAGAAGTGATCAATGGGAAAGCTCGCAAAAGGGAAAAGGCAGGGGGAAATATTTATCTCAATCTGGACACACCATTAAATACTGCAGAAAACGAATTACTGAAGAAAAGGATTCAAACTTCAAGTATAAGGAAGATGAAAAGGATGACGATATTTTGTTTATGATGTTTAATTTTCAGGAAACCCAATCACAAGAAGTATGGTATATCGACAGTGGATATAGTAACCATATGATGCGTATAAGAGATCTGTTTGTAACCTTGGGAGATTCTTCCAAAAGTGAAGTAAGAACTGAAGATGATAAAAAAAAACTCCATGTTCAAGGCAGCGGTGACA